CGGGCTTCGCGCTCTAGGATTTTCCAAGGTTCATTGTTATCGAAGAAATAAGAGATATCTTCTTTAAGATTATCAATGAGATCGACGAGATAGAGTACTTCACTACAGCAATGAACTATGTCTTGATATAGTTTGTCCGGTGTTGGCAGTGGCGGAAGTGCTGACTTGATCTTTTCTAGTTGAGCTTGTGCTTGTCGAAGTTCTTTCTTCAGGTCTGCAATTTAGTGTTACTGGGAAGTTGTCGAAAAATCGAGTAAGTTGTCAGTTGTTCGGATCATCACGACTCGAATTTTCTCAAGAATATTCCCAGTTTTGCAAATGCGAATGCGAATCGAAATGACGATCCGAACAACTGACAACTTACTCGATTTTTCGACAACTTCCCAGTAACACTAAATTGCAGACCTGAAGAAAGAACTTCGACAAGCACAAGCTCAACTAGAAAAGATCAAGTCAGCACTTCCGCCACTGCCAACACCGGACAAACTATATCAAGACATAGTTCATTGCTGTAGTGAAGTACTCTATCTCGTCGATCTCATTGATAATCTTAAAGAAGATATCTCTTATTTCTTCGATAACAATGAACCTTGGAAAATCCTAGAGCGCGAAGCCCGCATCAAAGAGTTGACTGTTGAAAACTATTCTCTAAGATTGCATCTTCTACGAAAGCAACTCTCTCTCTTCTACTCGACTGTTCCCGTTATTATCTCTATGAATATGATCTCCGAGAAGGCATGGGACTCACAGATGAGCACTCCTCAGCAGTATACGAACACATCTGGAAGGAAGTTCACGTTGCCGACTTCACAAAAGCAATCGAGCGGATCCTGACCGACCAAGAAGAAGTGATCAAGGAGCTGTTCACGAAGATAAAGGATATTCGAGCAGAATGTCTACTCCAAGAGCGGTACCGCCAAGATGTCTCGAACAAGCGAATCTGCGACTCCCTGAAGGAAATCAAGGAAGAACTCGACCAGTTGCGAGGAAGTTTGCAAGACAATCGTGATGGGCGAGTCAGCGAAAGCGAACAAGCGAGAATCGCAGAAAATGTGGAGTTTATGGAGTCTGTCCAAGAAGAACAACCACAACCACCGGACGAAGAAAACAACCACCGGACGAAGAAAAAGAGTCCATATTCGAAGAGATCCATCATCTCGAGCAAGAACTGAAGCAAGTCCACAACAAGATACGCGAACTTGCCGCTCTCCGAAGATGTCGTCCTAGACAATATGAAGAAGGAATCACACGTGAAGAAGAGACAACGATGCGATGCGCTTTCTGCTTTGCTGAAGGCAGGCACTATTCCGATTCCTGCCCCGAAGTCCGGACAGTGGAGGAGAGATTGGATTCACTGAGAAGAAGGAGACGCTGTACCATCTGCCTGGACATAGAATGCGATATGGGCTATTTCTGCCCGAAATACAGCAAAAGATGCCATCACTGCCATAAAGCCGGACACGCCTCCGCAGTATGCACGTTACCAGAAGAGTCCTTGGATATTCTGGCTCGAAAACGCGATTACGAGATCACCGCCGATCAGATCCTGAGACGTCTGGAAGAACTGCGCAGAGCTCTCTGAGCCCATGTCGACTCGTCCAAAAGGGGGCGGAGTATCGCGGAAACACCGCGATTCTCCGATCACAGATCAATAGGCGCGGATCAAATCCTCGCGATCGCGCGGGAGCGCGCCAAAACGGGCTATAAATAGCGGGAGCAGTCCAGCCGCTCTCAGTTTGCACTTTCTTCTTTCTTCCTGCTTCTCTCCTCAAATCTAATATTCGATCTC